TGTTTTGGTATGAGTTTATTCGCGTAACGGTCATGAGATTAGGGAGAATATAATTTTGTGTGAATGCTGCTGCATTTAGCGCTAATGGATAAGTAGACAAGCATCTTGAATAGGGAATAATTATAATCCGGATGAAGCATCGGGTGTAATCGCATCTATGGGAAAATGTATAAGGAAGTGATACTCTGGAATATTTTGATAACGAGGTGGGAAAACATAAAAAGTAATAGAAGCAGTAAAGCAGGTTTATTAAAATTAATTGCGAAGTGAAAATGTGGTAGTAGATTCAATTATGGTAAGAGTACTTGTGAAAACGGTCGGGCGGGGATTAACTCTTTGCGCTCGTATGTCATGCTGGAGATGACAATACAATACTCTAAACCACGTACGTCACGTTGGAAATTGTTTGAAAACGTCCCACACTTTAAAAGATTATGACAATTAAATCTTATAATAACAATAATAATAATAATAAGTATAGAACGTTGAATTCTACTGCTGTAAATTACTTTAATTCATTTCTCTGAAAATCAATACAAGTTTACACCCAGCAATGTTGAAAATAAATCGAGTGCAAAGGATTAATACAGAAGGTATAGCATGCAACGAAATTGTTTAGGCTTTTGCCATAGCGCTGCAGAGGTGATTGTTACCTTCCGTGAGTTAATCAGGGTGTTCTAAAGTTGAATATAACTTAAGGAGAACGTCATAAATATACGTCGACGCTCGTACATCTCTGTCGACTGACGCAAGGCGTTGTTTGAGGTCATGGGTTAAGGGTGAGACACAGTGTGTCGGAGCGTTTAATTTCCACCGACGACCTTGAGCAAAGAAATCGTAAATTTTCTCCACCTATGTCTCACCTGGGCGTGCCTCTTTTACAAAATGAGGAAAAAAATGGAAGAAGGTGAAGTTCGTTGGATCAATGTGGGATACAGTCAAGTTCCTTTAAACCCTTGCCATATAATGACGAATGACACTCGTGGTATTAGTGGAAAAAGCAATATTAGTATTACTATAGTTGGCAAGGTGGTTATCATTGATTGGAATTGTCATAAAAAATGAAACATTTATTTCCTGAATAATTACCTTCACAATATTTGAGTAATACAGAATAATGGCAATGAAAGATAATACTAGTTAACACTGCAACTGAAGTAGTAACACGTTCCAATATGAACACTGTTAATACTGCGTAGAAGATAAACATTTTGTCGATATGTTAAGTATTATTTAATCGTTTCCCATTATCATATCATTTTCTGATAGTAGTACATTACTACCAATGCATTGAGAACACACATTATATATAAAACGAAACATATTTCATTACTAGAATAGTATGAGTAATAGTAGTAGATTAATGGTAGCTGAGCACAATACGAATTCACATTGTAATCGGTGCTATGCATTTCTATGTTCATGAAACAGATTGACAGAAGTGATTAATTAAGTATAGATCTTCATGAAAAATTCTATTTTCAAAGATATGCATCGATTTTTAAAAATAGTATTTCTAAAAATCAGACTAGGAACAAATTTTCACTTGCTTATTAGAAGGTTCCTTCTATTAAAAATAAAATAAAGATGTTCTTAATTTTGTATTTTACAATTACATAGATGTCATAAATTCATATGATTCTGCTGTCTGGTTACGAAAATATATTGTAAGCTGACATTATTATAGAATGCAGTCTTAATAGTTAGATAAGAATGTATTATCGTAAATCCTTCTAGTCTTTACTTAAGAGGATCTTATAAGTTATATACCCGTCGAGTTCATATGTTTATTATTTATTGCTCTTGTCATTCGCAGCACTTTAAGTCTCTGATTATTAACATGGAGGAAGGCTTATTGTTCACGGAGTTTTTATTCATCACAAGAGGTCTCACTCATCTCAGATTCAACTTCGAGCTCGTTACGCTCCACACTTTGCACCCTGTATAACTTTCGCAAACTACGCCCTCTATTCTCTTCTTGCGGCCCAGTACTAGTTGTTTCTGAAATTCTTTTATAGCTTGATATTTTCAACTTTCGAGAAAATCTACGCTGGATACACTGTAGTTGTAATATAATTAGTTAACGAACGAAAGAATTGCAGTTACATCTCCAAACTGAATTATTTTGATTTTGAACATCGATATTTTATTTATTGTTTTCAATGTACATTATTTGTGTTTAATAGTATACCAATGTAGACGTAGAGATCAGTGTAATAATGCATAAAATGTTATTGCATAATATTAATATAATCATGATTACACAACATGCAGGTAAATACAGTGCAAAAGTTTAAAAAAGTTTCTGTTCTGTAGCACAATTTATAAAATCCTGAAACTATACGGATTTTTTAATATTTGTTAATTTCCACGTTTAAACTTCTAAATGTCTATTTAAATATTAAATATCTTCATCTGATACGAGTAATAATGAAGTCTCTATTCAATCAAATGTTAAATTATGTTTTTCTTAAATTAAATTTAACTGTAAAAGTTATATGATAAAAGAAAGAAATATTATTTATATTTTTATCCTGTTCTTGAGTAAATAATCACTTTTCAGCCGTGTCATGTTAATAGATATACTATCTACCTATATATTCATTAACTAAATTCCATGTTTTTGATAAATTAACTCGTTAAATACACTTATGCATTAGTTTTCTCTGGTATTACGTATAAAGTTGTAATAATTGTAGAATTTGGTGTCACGGATATTATTCGATGAAGAAACAGAAAAATAACAAATATATTCACAATGTAAATAACGAAATTATAAGTGGATAAATAAATTTGTCGGTGTAAGAAAATCTTGTCTTCATGCTCAGCTGTACTTCGCATACGCTTCTCTAGGGATGTTCAGCTGACGGATACCCTGTAATCAGTTTGCTCTTGCTCACCATTGAAAACTAGTAAATATTTCCTTTTTCCTTTCGTTGGCCAGTCGGCATCAGCCAATTTCCAATACGGTCGGACGTATACTTACACGAAATTTCAAGACCAAGAAGCGGCGAAACCCTGACATTTGCGAAACGAAATTATCGTGGTGTATCGCGAGGCCTGCAATTCATAATCAGCAATTCAAGAGTTTCTCGCTGGATCTGTTCTAACCGGGAGCCAGTTATTTCTTGGTCTGTCCGAAAATTAAATTCCTAGTGTTCTACGAACGAGACACGAGGATTGGAGAGCCCTTTGACGTAGCCCAGAAGCGCATCATTAAACGTCGTCCTTTGATCATTAAAGGAATCAAGAAAGAGGAAATTGAAAATACTGTTGCCGATTCCAGTGGAATGGATATGAACAGAAGCAGGGAGATAGATCAGTAATTTGAGATTGACCGCACCGTGCAGAGGAATTCTTTTTAAAAGAGATAACTAAAGATGTTGATCATACGTCATTTATATAGGATTTTTATGTCGCAATTAAAAGAAAAATGTGGTAACAGTTTGTATATATTTTTAAATTTTCGTGAAGTGGATATTTTCATTTAAAATCGTGTTTAGAAGAAAGTAATAAACCTTTAGTAAAATTTCTAAGAGAAGCGATCAGTGCATATTTAACATTAGAACTACCGAGCATTTAATATGATTCATATGTAATCCCTATAAAAATTGTAACAATTGATTATCTTCAGTTTCTTCAGATATACATTATAATATTCAAGTGACACTATTTATTATCAAAATCATTTTAAATATTCAATGCTTTTAAGATATTAATAATTGCGAAACAAAAAAATCGAAACCAGTCATTTTGATTGGAACGGTAGTTCTAGTGTTAATAGCTTAGGTGAATGATTTATTTGTATTGCCTAATGTCGTGTAGCAAGATTCAGGTGTATTTATATAAATATTTACAAGTGCATGAAACACAAAATAGAATGTAATAATGTAATAATAAACCTGATAACGTGTAATATGAGTTTTATATTAATCATAACCTGAAGGAAGCTTCAATTGAAAATGTTGATACATTACATTTGTAAATTTTATACCTTTTTAATGATTGAACTGGTTGATACTTTTTCAATTTTCATGTATTTTACAAAATCATTAACAATATGTCTAAGTCATAAATTATTATTACGGTATTATTATTCCAAACATAAATATATACATCTTGATAAATTAATTCATTTAATAATTCTCGATGAAAGCACTTTTACAGCTTTAACATTGCAAAACGAAAAATCAGAAACTGATTATTTTGGTGACTGTATTACTTCCACTGTTAACACATTAAAATTTATATTATTTGTTACAACAGAATATTCTGACTAAGTTAAAAGCAAGGTATTATTCAATTAGTTTTACATTTTATTCATTTTAACTGTATTCAGGTTACCCGGTGAGTGAATTGTAAAGAATTTTTGTGGAGCGTACTATTCATTGAAGAAGCTTCGATTTTTCATTGAATTCTCGGGTAATTGAAGTTTTTTGCCAGTTAAATCTATTAATTAATTACAAAGCGAAATTCTAGGAAGACGCTACGTGAAGTATTTAAAAAATGATACTATAAACCTTTTAATGCAAATTAGACAAGAAGTTTTTAAGATATACATAGAATTCTTATACCATTATGAAATGAATGTAATGTCAGTATGTGTAAAATCTAATACAATAAACAAGTTACACAAATGACATAACACACAATTATAAATGATCACTTTGGCTACACTTAATACCGTAAACATACTATGTACTTCAATTTTCGATAACTTCACAAATAGTGCTCTCTAATTACTCAACTGATTGCAAATCCTCATTGCAAACGTTCAAACATCTGAAATAATCACCTTACAGCTTATCTCAAATATATTAATCCCACACAACTAGTGTGACACGAGGTTGCAAGGCAAAGGGTTAAAATTACGTAGAACTACGTCAGCAGCGACAAACCATAAACTTTAAAATGACCTACATCTGTGTACGCGTTTGTCAATGTGTTAGGCACAAGTTGTATCCGATGATTGTATCAGTGGCATGTCGTCTAACTTTCAGAATGGACCATGAAGGAGCGCATCGCGAGCTGGTAGTAGACGAGTGGTCGTCCTCGCGGTTGGTGTCACGACGGTCGTCGACGGGATCCTGCAACGTTCGAACATTCACCCTGCAGGTGTTGCGCGCGGCAGGCACGAGCGCAGATGCAATAATCGGGGGTGACCCGGTTGCTGCCGCCGGGGCGGCGATGCGACGATGAGCTCGCCAAGGATACTGCTATCCTTCTACACCCGACCAGAGGTTAGTAAATTTATCAAGGGAACGCAAAAGCTTTGTTACGTGTGCAATAACCCCTTGCCCTATGATTTATTTTTTAACTGTGATCGATAGAACTAATTTATCGTTAATCATTTATTAGGAAATGAACAAAAATTCGATGCTTGTTCTATGTTTACGATTACTTTAAAGGTTAACAATTGATAAGAGAAAAGTAATATTTACCTTCTATTTTAAACAAATAAATAACACTTAGATTTTCTAAACTCAATGTAAAATTTTTATCGCGAGTCTGACGCGATATTGTAGGTTAAGGGGTTAACTCTAAAACTACCGATCAATTAGAGTGACTTAGCTCCAATTTTTTTTACAAAAATTAGAACAATATGTTTCTTGAGACTTGAAGGGTCTCTTAGTCTTGTATTTGTATAAATAGAGTAATTTAATTTGAAATCTTTTGCTAAAACGTCTTTATAGTTTAAATACTTGATAAAAAAAAGTTGTGCATCTATTCCTACCGCAATGGGTCAAGTAACTGGTTATAAAATAAAAGTAAAACAAATTAAATAGTAAATTATTTTCAGTGAAAATAGAAGCAAAAAGAAAGACAGACATCGGAAACTGATTAATCGGGCAATATAAAAATTGATGTAAAGTTGAATGGGTGTAAAAAAATACAGAACTTTTAATGAAATTTTAAAACCGGTCATTTGATCGGTCATGGTACGTTTAGTGATAAATTTAAATGATTCAATTAATGTTAATAAAGTTTCTCCGTGGTTTGATGTATGTAATTAATGTAAATGACGTTTATCCTTGGTTTGATGAATGTAATTAAGGTAAACGAGGTTTATCTGTAGTTTGATAGAAATAAGTTTATCAGTTACTAAAATGAATGATTCATATTATCCAGTATAATAATATTTTCAATTTTAATAGTAGATCACTGTAAACGTGACATGAAACCATAATATAATGCGGACATATTTTCTCTATTATTAGAACTGTGAATAAAGAATAACGCGAAACTAATGTAATATCTAGAGTCAATAGACATTATTTTAGTTTATCTTTTATCACGTTTTATTCGTGTATCGTGTTGATCAAACTTGTGAAGAGATAAACGATTGTGGCAAATGGCGTCGGTTAGCTTTGCTCGATCCTATGTACTCGAATTTCGAAATTTATTTACTCGGTGTTCGATTTCAATAACTAGAATTTAAACTGTACTCGATACAAATATTTCGAGTGGCTCAGATAAATCAAAGGATAATACAGCTTAACGCTTTAACGGAAATAACAAAAAAAATAATTGTTGGAATAATGAAATCAAACATTTGTAATAAATAACGTTCGAGGTGAAGTGTGTTATAAGGCAAGCGGTTAGTAATCTTCCGCGGTTTACTCGTGTCGTATTTCGTACGGAATTATCCTTGATACAGTCGTGACGTCGCATCGCGTCGCCATCGTCGAACCGAAGGGTAGATGAATCGAGTTCGGAAGTCCATCGATCTCCTTGCACGTAGTCCTGCTGCAGGAAGAATCGAAAACTTAAATTACACGAAGATAGATGGGAAGAAGTTGGTTTCGTTCAGCCTGATCTATGTACCCCGGATGTTTCATCCGCGTTTAACCCTGTCGAACATAGGGTAATTCCGGGTGAGATGGTCCGATCTCATTTGCATTGTCAAATATCTATATGTTCAATCGTTCTTACAAGGAGAGGGCCAAGACATAACAATCTGTTTTTGAATGAAACCCTATGTATGTTATAGTATATGTCTAGAAATGAAAAACTTAGCTTTAACCATTACATATATTTACTTTCATAATATATATTTTCTTTCTGTTAAATATCAATCCTTTAAGTCCCAAATAAATCTTTTAGAAAAAACACCCTTATCTTCACAATACACGTTAACTAGCTCATCATTTTTAACAAAAATAAATATTTTTAAATCAATCTAATCTTTATAAAAATCCTAATTATCAAATAAGAAATAGGTGCCATTACTGTATCGATTTTATACTGTTGGCTTCGCGACTAGCCCACTGGTTCCCATTTTACTGATATTAAAACATGTAGTTTCAAGGCAATGCCTCCACCCTATTTCTCATTCATCCGTTCATCTGTAATTAAAGTCCGCGGAAAATGAAAAAGGCATGAATTGAACTGGATTTCGGTGAATTTTCTGTTTCGCAGCCCCGAATAGTAGCAAGGCCGGGTCGCCTCGCAGACTGTCCCAAGGTCGAGCAGAGAGAAGCGGAAGCCGGTTCAAGGCCAAAATTATTCGCCTGGCCATGGACCTCGAGGCGAGGAACGGAACCGGCGGGAATAACGACGACGAAGATACGAATATTTACTTCATCGTTGGCGATCGCAGGAGGAAAACCACCTACAAAGCGGATCAGATCACGGACATGGAGCTTAAGGGTGAGTTCGTTTAATTAATAGTCCTGTTAATATAAATTGGATAACAGTCCGTCGGCAGACGATTATAGGCGACAGGGTGGAGTTTATTTTTATTATCGGCGTTCATCGGTGTAGCGTGGAAACCAGTCCTTCAGCGGAATTCTAAGAAATTTCAATTATTTATTATGTAAAAGCGACTTTTTTGTTATTCCTACATTTATTCTGCAAGAATAATTGTAATGTGACACAGGCATTTTGATTAAAATTTGTATACAATGAAATTTGATTCTTAGGTTATATATATTAAATTGATGTGAGGGATATTATGGTTATTATAGGAGTTTAAGTTTTGCTTATATTAATAGTTGGTGATGATGAAAAATGTGAATCTAATGATACGTGTAAATATTTACGTACTGTGCCTCGTATATTTTTAATTATTGGGTTGTTATAAGTAAATTCTGTTTTCTTTACTGCACAGTTAAGTTTGTTGAAACAGAATGTGTATTGTGAAATCAAATTGTAGGAGAAAAGATAAAAACTGTACAGAATTAGTAAGTTTATAGAATTTATAGATGCTTATAATCAGTAATATCTGAAAAATATGTATATTCATTTAATATTACAAAAATATATTTAGAATGATATATCAAACGGAATTTATGAAATGCAAAAGAATAGAGGCTTTTACTTTATTATGATTAGTTTATAAAATAAGAAACTCCCTTAAGCGATAGTTCCTAAAGGTTTAAAGGAATAATAAATTCTATTCTTATCATTCGGCAAATGGAATATTAGTCGTGTAACCCTCCACGAAGGTACGCGCAGAGTCTAGATTGTTGCGTCAAACATCCGTGACGTAAATCGTACGACACAAATCATCAAACACCACTTGCTCTCCATTTGAATCAGTCACTCAAAATTAATTTAGCGGGCGGCAGTCCGGGTATATATATTCCCCGACAGATTAGTCTCGGATTCAGTAGCTATAAGAAATTTTCGATGATTTGTAAAATTATTTACTGGTATGACAAGCAGTTTACTGTTCACACGTTGACTGCCATGCTGGTCACCGATGACCAGAGCTTTTGATTTGCTTAAAAACAATTATAATAAGAAGATTGATGTCGAGTAAAAATATTTGCTAATGTGAATAATTAGATAATGGTATAACGCAAGAACTGCAACACCAAATTATTAATAATTGTTTCTAATATCATTCATTTTTCTAGAAAAGGATAAACAAGTATCAAATCTCTAGAAAACGTTTCCAACTACACTGAGTGCTATTAATTTATATAGATTGTATGGTAATATTAGTTACTACTTAAAACGTGTATCATTTGCGTAATTATGCAATTATAATTGCTTCTTTATCTATTCAATGTATCATCGTTCATTCGAAATCCAAATATCACAGATAGAAATAACATATTTTTTAGTATGCGTTACAAACACTATGTTAAGTGAAGTATAATAAATTAATTGTTTATCGGATTATTTTATTTGTTTGCGTTGTATGAATGTACCGAAAATAAGTTCTCATTTTCCGAATATTTTTTAATGTGCCTGAATATAAATGTTCAAGAAATTATAGGAATCATAATGTTTCAGTCATTTATAAATAATAAAAATACAGGATTAAGTACGTGGATCGTATTTTTTGTCTAATGAAATACTATAATTATAATCATATGATTAAAATGATTATGGCCAACGGCATTATCTGGAAATTTGAATATAGTCTCAGCTCGCACATGCATATGTATGTGCTTTAACGATAATGACCAAGTTAATGGAGTGCATGTATGCGCTAATAATGCAAATGGGTTAATTAGTCTCATACTTTTGATTATTATTGTATACAGGAGGGACCGCATAAATATCTTCAGTATTAAACTGTTTACAATGGAAATAGAAATTGTATTTTGGAATATCTGTTCTTAAATTTGATGACTGTTTTCAGTTTGTAAATCACACACGTTTATTTTAAATGATTTGGGCAGAGGTAAATTAAGAATTAAAACGGTTCCCGTGTAAAAGGTGAAATTTGAATGATATCTCTGAATGCCCGATGATAAATGAATATGATGGTATATCGAGAGAAGCAGTTAATCGTTCTCATTAAAAATTAATTTCTAAACTTCAACCAAAAATATTACAATTCTTTTATTCGTGTATTTAGTATTTGTATGTGTTACTCTATTATGATAAAAATACATTAACAAAAAAGGTCAAATTAGGCGTAATATGAGAAAAATAAAACTATTAAAAACACTA